GACTGGCAGGAGTCAAGGCTGTCTGTGTGTGTTTTTAGACTACTGAACAGGAAGTGGTCTACCTCTTCGTTCCCACTCCAGCAGTAGGAGCTCTCATCGGGAAGAAAGGGCAGCACATTAGAGAGCTGGCACACTACGCTGGAGCCTCAATAAAAGTGAGCCACTTCTGATTCCCACTGCAGTTCACTCTCTCATTGGGAACATTAACCAGTTTGAAACGAAGCTTGAATGAAAGAATGTTTTGGACCAGATTGTATCCTAAGGCTTGTTATTCAGAAATAAGAAAACCTTGATGTTTTTTTACAGTTTTGGGCCAGCTGATGGAACTGCTAGTTTCACCAGTGCTGCATTGTCCCTAAATCTTACATTTGTTGATTTAGATGTGTTTTTGTTCCTTGCAAACTTTTTTAATTCTAAATGATTTATTGTGAATTCTGCTGAATTCTGCTCCAAGGTAAGCTGATTGACAGTTGTGGTTTTGTCTAAATTATAACGTGTGATTAGAAAAAAGTTCATGTTAAAAAATCTGTAATATTTTGAATTGTGTTCGATTTCCAGCAAAAGTGTATTGTAGTATAATGTAGACTTGAGCTGTATACACTGTAAAAACTGTAGGCACAGGGGAGAATATATGGGAAGTTGAAAGAGGAGAATTTTTTCACAGCTAAGGAAGATGTGAAATTGGAGGCACATATAAAAGTGCCTCTGACCGCCGCTGGACGAGTCATCGGGAAGGGTGGCAAAACGGTATGTGTGCTTGCTTTGTGTACATGTGATTGGATCACCAAAGACAGATGTTAAAGCCATGTGTAAACACACAAGTCAAGTGAGACAGATTGTTTTTTACACCTGGTAGTAACATGTCCCTTGAGATCAGATTTTCAAGGAACTATAACTGAATGTTACTTTGTGTAGAAAAAGTACAGAAAAGTAAAAATAAGCACACAAAGTTAGTAAAAATTGCTTTCAAATGCGACAAGTTTCTTCTTGGTGGAAGAAAGTTTCTTCTTCTGGTCTCCCAGACCAAGTGTCAGTCTCTGGCTGCATTTACACTGCAAGTCTTAATGCACAGATTCGATCTCTTAACCATATCAGATTTTTTTGGCCCGCCTGTTTACATTCACTTTAGACAAGACTGGTATCTGTATCTGTGTTTAAATTAATTCCCGCCCAAAAGGATTGTCTGCAGTTATCGCTTTACTATGCACATAGTAGACCTTCGGGTTTGAATGGCCGTGCTATTAAAATGTATATAATTCACGTCGAGTGGCTGTCATGAATGTTTTGCAGCACAAAATCTGACTGAATGGATAAATAACGGAAAATAGCAGTAATTTTCATTTGTTAGGCTATATTTTATCTACAGTTTGTTAGAGGTAGAATTCTTTAGTGAAGTAAAGTAGCACCAAGATGATATTTATTGTAATTAATTTGAATGAATTGAGAGAGAGAGAAAACGTGCGAGCGAGTGTGAAGCTTGCGAACAAGTGAAGCTTGTTGGTTTAATTACAAAAACTGCGAAGTTATCAGAGTTATCACCTCATTGCTGAGAAATATAATGTAGCTTTTAGTTGTTGTATTTATAAAATTCACGGGGCAGGGGTTGAAAACCAGCTCCTGAATGTACAATTTCTTACCTATATAAAGTTTCCATATCAATAAAATGTGAGCGCATACTAGAGGTCGACCGATATGGGTTTTTCTCTGGCCGATGCCGATATTTAGAAATCAGGGCAGCCGATATATGATGCCGATTTTTTTGGCCGATATGTTTAGCCGATTTTCTTTTTTTTCCCCATTCATCTCATAAAAGTGAGTTTGAGCAAATGATTATTGCAGGGTACAAGATAGTAATAGTAGTAGTAGCCTAATTCAGAGTAATAATACATGGCTCAAAACTTAAGCACCTTCTCAA